GTCAAATGATTTTTTTTTTTTGGTGGGGAGGGGAAGAATATTGAATATAAGACTAAAAGAGAAAAATAAATTCCACGAAAAATTGCATGCTTAGTTACGACCATGCGGTTCCAGGGTCGATTTTTCTCGAAAGGCTATACTCAAAATGACAAGAATGATATACTTGTAGTTTTTTACTCTCTAATTCGACTCTATATGAGATAGTATTATTATATTTTTTTTCCAATTTTAAAATGTAGCAGAATTGGGGAAAAACTTGACAGAAAAGCCTTATAAATTTAAACCATTGTTCGATCTCGAGAACATATTATGTTCGGGTCAGAACATGTTAATCATATACACAATGACAGCTTTGACTTTTCAGCATAAGTGTATCATTGTAAGACTGGTACCCATCTACTTTAAGCCATTACCCCTCCACCAATGGACTGTGACACGGGGGTTAATGGGATGTAAAATTCAATTAAAGACAGAGGTTGACTCTTTTCAATTTGTTAAAAAAACTGTTACCTTTTGGAACACCAGTTATAAATGATGATGATGAGTATGTTGTTCTAACTTGTCACAGGCCTTGGATCGCTACGTTATTAGACTGAAAAAGTGAAGATATTTTTAAACCCCTATAATGTAAGTTTGATTAATAAGGTGATCTAAAGGCCTCTAATTTCTTTTTTTTTAAACTGGTTAAGAGAAATTTTAACATTAACTCTTTACACAGGGTTTTTGAATTTCAGAAGAGACAGTCTTGCTCAACATATCCATGCACTTTGTTTGCTAAAATCAAAATACCAATTTTTTTGACAAAGATCACTTGTTTTAATCATATGAACAACAGGACCCCGTCCTTACTAACATCAGATCCCCTGACCCACGGGCCATATGAATTGGAAAATTTTGAAAGAGATACTCTTGAACACCATGATATGCATATGATTGGGCACTTTTTTTGATTGCTTCAGGAGCAGTGAAGATTTTTCAGCGAATTGAAGCATAATCAATAAAGCCCTGTATTAATAAGAGCTTTAGTAGAATCCCTGACCCAGGGTCATGAAGAACACTTTATAGAAGATGTGTCTTTGATCCTTTGCTCATTAAAACCACGCATTTACTTTAACTGCTTAATGTCAAGGAGCGGAGATTTTCAAAGATAAATGCATTTTCACTGTATTATTATTAGAGCCCCACCCTATACACCAGAACCCATGAGCCCAGGGTAAAAATTTCACAATTTGGAAGCTGCATCCCTGCTTATCATATCCATTTACTTAGTTTGTTTGCTGAATTAATACGAGGGAGGATTTTTAAAAGAATGTATGCATTTTCCTTATGGAATAATTGAGCTCCAACTTAATTCCAGAACCACCGAGCAAGGGGCCATGATTTTCAAAATTTTTCTATAAAGAAGTCTATGCCTATTACATTAATATCCCAATATTTAATTATAATATACCCTTTAAATATGCAAACCTATATAAGACTGTTATCGTACATGAAAACAATAACTATATATTCAAATTAATTTTTTTTTAATTGTGATGGAACGCCTAAATTCATTTGTCAGCTGAGGAAAAACTTATGATCACATTTTCATTTTAAATAAAGTCGAGCAATGAGGTGGTTCATTCCCATGCATAAGAAGGCAATTTATGTGGCCACTAATACTCCTATTTAAATCTAAACCGCGGTTTTCAGTTCTCACGATAAGTAATTTTTCAACTATGACAAACCAAAGGAGAAAATGAAATGTTTAGTTAAAATTGGTGACGAAGACAAATCTCTGATTATTAGTATAACTTGTCTGAGATAAAAATTCTCGTGATTTTTTTTTTTTTTTAATTTTTTTTATCGAACATATCATGTGTTGTCCTAATCTTTTTTTCATAATTCAACCAAAGTTTCCAAAGCATTTTCGTATGAACGGAGCGAAGGTGGGCTTCGGGATGGAATCTTACTTTTACATAAGAACTAGTCATGTATATAAGAAAGGAAATCCAATGACATTTAGAAAAGGTTTCACATGGTAATATACATGTGAAATGCATAAAAATAATTTTAAATTCTTTAACTTAATTAAGGTTGGTTAAAATACCAGTCTAAAAGAAGTCAGTTTTTTTTTTTTACGAAATTCCGTATGTTCCTGCGCAATTTCTTTGTTCTTAGGGTCACGTAGTTTACTATTCCTTTGTGATTTGTAATGGATATTTGACTGACTTTGCTGTAGAATTAAGACCCTGTATATTCCTTGTGATCTGATGGCGACATTACTTTGTCATGCACAGAGAAGGGTAATCACGTGATTTATCTTCCGCATTTCTCTGATCTTGTATTTTAGGTTTCCTTCAATAAAAATAAAATGAATTGCATAATCCATTCTCCTAAGGATAAGTGAATTATCAAAAGAAAATGAGCTGCATGATATTAGTTTCTCAAAATTTGATACGGAATTCTATGTTGCTTGTAACCTTTTTATGCCCCCGTAATCGAAGATTCGTGGGTATATAGTTTTGCTCTGTCTGTCTGTCTGAAAGCACCTGAAACACATCTTGTTTTTACTTGCTCCTATACGCATATGTTCTCACATTTCTATTAACCAAATCAAATATTGTTTTTTGCATGTTTAATGTCCCTCTCGAGAATGTTTCACTCATATGGAGACGCCACCACTTGCCGGTGGAGTGCTGCAAATTTTGACCTATACTCGGCATCTAGGACCATTGAGTAGGGACATCTTTTTCGTGCAAACATCTACTGCGACACAGGGCCTCGGTTTATACAGTCTCATCCGATGGACAGGTTTCTACGTCCCACAGTGGGATTTGATCCCCCTTCGTAAAATTGGTCTGGTGTTCTTGAGAAGAAGTTGAAAAAATAAAAGTTTAGAGACTGATGCATGGACAGACGGACAGCTAGACAAACGATGGAAAACGGCTCATTTGAGCTTTCAGCGTGGGTGAGTTTAAAAAAAATATGGTGCCCCTGCCCCCCTCCCCTCCCCCCCTTCCCCTCGTTCTACGGACCTGTAGATGCAGGATGTGAAGCCAGACTGTCATACTTCTAGATAGATTTGAGTCATATAGGGCTTTTACATGTACTAGCATGGAAATACTCCATTCCATTAAGATAAAGTGGGTTGTTTTAGGTATCCCACGCTATCTGAAGGATAATTAAAGTGTAAATTTTATCTAAATTCAGATAGGTATAGAGGATGGGCAATGAACTTGGAATCGGGTTAAAATTAACTTCATTTGAGAGGAAGAATGTGCCATACAATCAACTTGATAAATAAAAACAAAAATACTTTAGGTTATAACAATTTATTCTAAAAAAAACCTAATTGATAAATACACAAGCAAAAGTTACAGCAAAGACTAGATCATAAATAAAAAAAAAATGGTGAAAAGTTTAAGCATTATTGTTGAACACAGTTACTATTAAGTACAAGTTGTAAAATCTATGAAAAGCAAAATAAATAAAGACACTGGACCTCAAACTAATTTGATTTTTGTGCAAGGTTTTGGTCTGTATCTTTTTTTTTTTGGATTTGTTCTTTGTTAAATATACAAATGAGGTAAAATAGATTAAGCATATTATTGTCAACAACTTAATACATTCAAGATTTTCAAAATACTGATTATACGGCAACAAAGATGAACAACTCATCAACATTGGAGCATTTAAAGGGTAACGTCATCGCACCAAAACTACACTGTAGCACGGATTTGAGCACTATCTTTGATAAAACAATTTAATTTCTTTTTGTGAGCAAAGGTGGTCATCATGGGGATGAATGTTATTGCCATTTTACCAGTGTAATTATTGTGTTCATTGATTTAATTACAAGAATGAGAAGAATTTAACAAACTGAATTTCAACAGGGAAAGATTGTAAAATGCAAACAAAAAAATGAGATAATAAAAGTATTCTCATGAAAATAGAAAATATAACAAAATATCTCTCTCTCTCAAGATTTAACAGTTTCAAAATAAATTGCATAGATCAACATGGTAACTCACAACCTCTTTTATGACAAAAAATAACAGTAGTAATAATTTTCAGAACCAGCAGGTGTAAATTACAGGTACGCACAGGTAAAAAAAAAATACCAGCATCACATGCCAAGGGGGTGAAACTTGGGTAACATTATTGGAAAAAATAATAGAACAATCATTTAACAGAACTTGAATAAATAACATTGACAATTTCTGACTAGAATATCAGCTTATTAGTTGAGATTTTAACACATGAGATTATGGCATCTCTTCACAAATCTTTATCAATGCAGTAAAACTCGTTTAGTGTGAACACGAATATTGCGAATTCACGGATATGGTGAAGTCATTTAGATCCCTAGCTATATAAATTTAATGAATTCCTTATACGGAAATAATGAATTACGTATATAGTGAAGTAATTTCACTGGTCCCAGTGACTTTGTTATAACCTAGTTTTATTGTGATTAATAAATTTTAAAAAAAATGCATAACAATTCCAACACTCAATAAACAAGATATATTGAATATCCCAAATTTTACCTGCAGTTAAATAATTTTAAGGCAAATTCTACTTGCAAACATCAACTCTGATACACTGTATTACAATGAATAAAAAAAAAAGACGAAAGAGACAAAAAAAAGATAAGGGTTTTCGGGTTTCATTACCTAAATAAAGCAAATGCCAAAAAAATATTTGGTACTCTGATTCCTCAAAAAACTGTCTACCTTTAATTAACGTACAAAATATTTACCATTCACAATTCAGTGTAAAAAAAAAATAATGCATACTGTCAATATATTATTTAAAGTCCTTAAAGGGCATTAAAAAATAATAAAGCCTCAAAAAGTGGCCTAGAACATTATAGTACAAAAATAAGGCAAAATTCTTGTAACACTAGCAATAGCTACTGTAAAATAAATAAAGCAGAATTTTATTATTACACTATCAATAACTAGTGAAAAAAAGAAAAACAAAATTTTGTAACACTAATTAGTACTAGTGTTACATAAATAGGGCAGAAATCTTGTTACACTAATAAGTACTAGTGTAAAAATAATCAATTAATACCACAAGGAGTATTTATGAAATATATGACAAACTAAAGCCTCAACAAAAAGAGGTGTGGCAGCACTAAATCATCATTTACATATTCTAGGACACGTGTATAGCTATGACTTGTAGGACACATGCTTAAAGTAATGCTTGATACGCCCACACAGCTAGGCACTCTATGGAACACAACCTACTTAACCCTTCATTACACCGGTATGTTACTGATTTGTAGACTGTGAAGAGCCAATTTCTAGATGTTATCATCACTGCTTCTTTGTTGGCTCCTTAAGAACAAATGGTGTCACGTTGCTGGGTTTATGTGTACTACAAGTTAAAAAGATAACATGGTCAGCTAAAAAGAATATTTCTCATTTATTGATTATAGATTGTAAATTTTTTTAAAAAATCTAACGATAATCATCATCTTCTTTATTCTAAATTATTCTTTTTACTAAAATTGAGTTTTTTTATGCAGGTTAATATGTTTGGATTGTACACTGTAGACAAAGGTACTAAAGAGATTGTTAGACAAATAGACACACAGATGGACAGACTTACTGATATGGAGAGTTAGGCACGCCCACCATAATGACTGGTGTACCATTGAGATACAATCGCCACATGCTCTGTTATAATACAATAAGATAGGATTATCGTTAACTCTTGATATTTCTATCACTTTAGGATACCATATACAGATATGTCATAGGACATTTAAATAACATTGAATATCTTGGTCTAAAAATGATATACTGGTAAACAAACATTTCATATTACATGTATAATGATTTTTTATGAACATGCATATAGTTACATGTATGCATAAAATAAACACTGTATTCAAAGTCAGTTATGAACAACATCATACAATGCATATGCTTATATTTTTTTAGACAGATTTTTTTTTAGGTTGGAAATAAAAAAGAACTAGAATCATAATGAAGTTTTTTTAAGAGACTGATCCTACCTTGTGGTAACCTCGAACATCAAGATCCCAGAGGTGGTAGCACTGGAATACAGAAAACTTGGCAATCAAGCTACAATAACATGTCATCATGTAAAACCTAATGACAAGCTTTCAAACTTTGACTCCATCACAATATAAACCATACCTTGGCGAGTTGTTTCCACGTAGTGAAGTCTGTGGGATGCTGCATCTGTATGTATAACACATGGACGGTGTCCTAGATAGAACAAAAATTTAAATATCTAATCATCATCATCATCATTTCTCCTTTATTTTAAATACATAATTCTGTTCGATTTTGATATAAGAAATCAGTTGTCTTTTACATGCGTTTATTTTTGTTGATGAGATGTGTCCTGTTTGTTTTACCTGATTTTTTGGAATGAGGCTGCTATCACAAGGATCTTTGGAATGATCTACAACTTTCGCTGTCTTTAGTATCTCATTAATTAAATCTTCATATTTCTCTGAGGTCATCCTAATGAATATTCATCAAGTGGTTATAACAATGTTGATCAATAAATGATTTGTTTTGTATGTGGTGCTTTCCACTTAGATTTGATTACCTTCTTTTGTTTTATTTACTTGTTGTAGCTTTGTTTACATTTCTTGGCTTTTTTTGCATGTCCAAGTTTTGTTTACATGTCTCAGTACCTTTTTCATAGTTTGTTTACCTGTCTAAATCTTTCAGAATGACATTGGACTCATTCAATATGGAATGTTTCTTGAAATAAACTTCTTGGAAATAAGGATTCATGTTGAGTCCTTTGGACCCAAAGTGATACGTCCGTGAAATGTCAGGGATGATGCACTCTCTTCCCTTCCTCATGTTGGGTAGTCTCATCCACATGTCCCAGTCCCACTGCTGTAAACGGGAAATGTAATGCGGATAACGAATATAATTCAGACAGGAAATATAATCCAGATAAGGAAAATAATCCAGTCATGAAATATAATCCGGATAAGGGATATACTCCAGACAAATAATATTATAAAGACAAGAATCATCATCCAGAGAGGAAATATAAAATGATAATGATTCAAATTGCTAAGAATTGTTTGTGTATAACCTCGCTTTCTTCAAAAAAAATTCTGATGAGGAATCAGACAAAAAGACAGACAGACAGATTGTTAAACAAATGAGATTTAATGTCCCCTTACTTTTGCAAAAGCAGAGAGCAATAAAATTTGTGATGTGTCATGCAGAAGAAAACAATCTGATAGTATGAATCATAATGTATGTATGATAAGTAAATGTCTACTGAATTGTGTTTCTGGAGTAACTCTTACTTTATCAGGGGACGGCCATTGTTTCTCCAGTTCTGTTTTAAACAGTTTCTTCTTGAGTAGCCACCCCAGTCCTGGCATTGTCTCCACCCTATAGAGAAGGCTGGGCTCCTTACAGGAATGAGAGTACCCCTAGAACAAACCAAATAAACTGTATCAACTTACAACATAGATTAAGATTAATATTTAATTATTGACATTTTTTTCATAATCTTTAATAAAAGGCTATAAAATTACAATAAGTTTAAATACAGGATAATTTTCTAGCAGTCTATTTGTAAATTTAATATAGATTTTCATCCATTTTTGTCATCAGCAGCAGCATAGCTGCTATGCTTACCTGGTCATTCCATGCTGAAATGCAGTAGAGAGTGTCATCTTTCTCCATTAGATGAATTGTCTGACTAAAATAACTGAGGAAAAAAACAAAGAAAACTTTTGTTATATCAAAATAACCTTAGAGATTTACCCTAATTTATATCGACATAATTTCAAAGGTTCTGTTTACATAATTTCAAAGGTTCTGTTCACATTATTCATACGGTTTGTCAAAATTCCACTTACTTAAAGAAATCTGGGGATACATCCAGGTCCTCTTCTATAACTATTGTATATAGAGCTGACTGCAGAATAAAGGATATGTTAGACTATTACCTGTCTTTAAAATCTAAGCATTGTAAATAAGATATTTCAAGCCCTGAGGAGCTTTTGGACCACACATTTATAAGCAAATGTGGTATCAATAACAAATATGCAATACAACTTTTTCAGTACTGAACCAAGGTTTTAATTAAAATTACAAAATATTCTTTATAATTAAAGATCTACTGCGTCATGATAATAGAATTCTTGGAAAATAAAATTTGAAATTAGTTTTTAATTACTGGAAACTTTGAAACTCACTGAAGATGATACTGTTATAAGAAATGAGGTACACATGTACTTAATGGACAAAGGTCAGAGGTTACTTACAGGATGAAGGTCGAAGGTCGCGGTCAGACTGGCCTTGTAGTGCTGACTGACCCTCGCGTTCTTCTTCCCCAGCGGTGTGTGCTGGATCCCCCTCAGTCCCAGCAGTCTCGTCACCTCCAGGGGCTCCTACAGGGAAAAAATACACATTCATTGATTGGTCAAAATCTTACACATTACCACAATGACAGTAACAATTAATTATTTGACATTTACATTTTTATAAGAATTGTGTTTTTGCTGAAGGATCTATGAGGAGTTAATAACAGTGTAAATAATGTCCCATTTACTAATCAGCACAGTTAAGCAATTCTCACCTCAAAAAATCCATCGATGAAAACTGTAATCATTTCCGGCCTTACTCCCGCAGTGGACAAAAGCCTGACAAGCATTCTGAAAAAGTCAATACATGAACAATACTGAAAAAATAATTATATAACCTATAAACAAAGTCATTCTGGAAAACATTTTAAAGAATTCAAAAATTGTTAGCATAAAAATTGTGTACTGTATATACTGATCAACTTGACAGATTAATTCTAGACATCGATATACACCTGTACCACTCACCTGTATAGATACTGGGGCCTGTTGCTAGCTATTACTGTTATGGCCACATTCTCTAAATTATCCTTGTCCAACTATTCCATCAGAATATAAAAAAAAAATAATAAATAAATAAATGATTTACAGATCAGATAAGTCAAAGCACAGTTTGTGTCATTAAGGTAAATGTTATAATAATGATTAAATCCAGATACTATATAATGTCCAGGAACAACATGTACATGTACAAATTATTTACTTTAATATAGAGGAATATTTCCTACCTTGGGAGGATGGAATGTGATCGGGTCTGGATGCTGACAGTCACAGACTTTACCATACCCCTCCATCTTCTCACAGAATGCCTGTCTCTTAGGCTCGGACTCAGTCCAGGGACAATTAGCATCTATCAATATATTATCAACCATATTATTCAGAAATAATCTTATTTCAGGTTACTCTAACAAATACAGAAAAACTAAAACTTTTAGCATGAACACGGATATATATGAATTCATGGATATAAAGAATATATATAGTTAATTTCGATAAACCACGGCCAAATTCTTAACAATTCTTTATAAAATTTTACGGTTATTACGATACAATTTAGTGTTTCTATTCTCATAACGAATTTACGGATATATTTCTAAGTTTTAAAAACCGATTTTTAGTCCCCTAGAGGTTAAATATAATGCAATTTACATCTTTTATAACGAGTTTCGTCATAGCATCTCAAAATTTTATATATTGAATCCACTTTATACCAGTAAGTAATTTTGCATTGTTTAAAAAATTCAATATCATTAAAAAAACCCTTAGTTATCCAAAGAATGTTATGTAATAATTGCTTCCCTAACATATTAAAAAGTAAATCTTTTAAGGAAAATGTGCATATTACGGATTCGGTTTATAAAGTTATACAAATTCGTTATATGGATATAACGAATATCGGAATATTGACACTTAAAAATGGACATTTGTTGTGAAAACATTACTTCGCTATAACCGAATTTGGCGTTATACAGTATAAGGAAAACATTTATGAAACTAGTTATAATACAGTTTGTCACATCCTTAAATTATGTGAAAATGTATTTACCCGTTACCATGTCAGGGTACCAGTTGAACACCTTACCTTGTAAGGGCATCAGTTTAACGACCTCGTTGACGGTAATTCTGTCTCCCCAAACTCCCATTGTAGCGGCCTTGTTATGGCGCTCACTGATCACCTTACCTATACACATTTATATTATTAAAGTACAAATCTGTAATCTTCCTCATTATTATACTGGATTAGTGCAATAATGTAGCCCTCAACTTATTAATGAAGATACATAGATGGTAGAATATTAAATAATTTAAAGTTTACTTATCTCTTAGATTCACAAATTCAAATTTAATCTACCAGCAAGCTTGAAATTAACTTTCTAAATTTTCCCCGAATCATTACTGTGTATGTCCCAGCTTTATTGAATCTATCCCTGAATCAATATTCTGTACACATTTACGTACCTCCTTTGTAGCAGATGAAGATCCACATATCTCTGAAGGTCAATTTCTCCACTGTCACGCTGCCCATCTTACCCAGGGCTGCCCGGGCTTCAGATCCCAGCTGAAATGACCCCTCGTCCTGAAGACATAAAATTAGAAAGAATGTGAAATTACAGGAAAAATGTACATGTTTTAATGATCTACATGATGTTTTAGTAAGCATTTTGTATTTTTATGATTCTTGCCAACTGCAGATTACAAGAGATTTCATTGTTTTTATGTGAACAAGAATTTCTTGAAAAAGAAATAAGCATACCTTGAAATATAGATATGCATGCATATGTCCTATTTCATACAGCGCCATTCACATGACCAATAACTGCCATAGTAAGTCACAGAACAGCATTAAAAAAATTGCTAGTATGTCCTAGTTTTCCATGTTTTCTTTATACTTACTTTGATGGTGAAGACTAAGATTCTATTTTTAGAGATGCGGTCGATGAAATCTAACATAGCCTTATCTTCTCCCCCGCTGTACGTATCAAACACCTGCTTTGCCATTATACGTCCCTAAAAACAAAGTCAATTGACAAAGTTTTGTTATTCAGTGGTGTTCCAAGAAAATTTGAAGAAGAATTTATGACTGACACTGGACAACACTGTTTGCACACAAGACTTTACACACAGTACTTACTACGGCTTGATTTAGGACCAATAAATGGATTCCTCTGTGGACATCGAAATCATCATCCTGATAAACCTGGAGATCAATAGAAGAATTAATTACTGAAAGAGCATTAAAATACATACAGAGCAACACATACATGTACATACAAAGAAACACATACACTCACAACAAAGTCATTATCCTGATAAACCTGAAGACTATACAAGGAATTAAATATGAAAAAACATTATCTTATAAACAATTTTAACATACACACACAAAGCCTTCACATTTAAATCCAAATTCAAAACATAAAACCTCAAAGACATTTTTTTTTTTTTTCATAAATGCATATGCATTCTGGTAAAACAGAAAATAACAAATTAAAGGACATACATGTATTTATCTGTCTGTCCAGCATTTTTTTTTGTTTTTATATAAACACTCACTGTGTTCCCATTGACTGTTACTAACACCAGGGACTTGCTTGATGTTACACTTAGCGATATTTCCGCGGGCAGTTTCTCCTCGACTTTTTTCTCTGAGACAGCTGAGGTTTCCCTTTTCTTGGATTTCTTTTCTGCTAAAATGGAAAATCATGAGAAAAAGCTTCCCAATAATATCTACATGAATGTATGGAAAGTAACTTCAGTAGATTAAATATTGAAAAAATAAAAATAACTAAAATTCAGATGCTGTAAATTCTTAAATGCCTGTTGGTAATTTGTTCATTCAAATTTAGGTAATCATCATTTAATTTTCCATCTGTGTCTGATTGTAAAAGAATTTTAAAACCACACTTCTCCTACATGCACAATTTTAGTTCAATTATGGTATAACATAGTAATGCACCTGACTACTAGTATACTAAACCATTATATGTAAATCTATTTGAAAGTTTTTGATCATGACGAAAATTGTTGCCATGGTTACTAAAGTAATTTATTTGTCAATTCAGGCCGATACCGACCTTGATCTAGGTTTCTCTGATGAGTCTGCTTTATAAACGAGATGTTAATTATTGCTGTGATGACCAGAATCAGCAACAAACCGCCCTGTAACCAAATCAACAGATTGAATTAGTTCACATTAGGATCCCTTTAATTTACCGATACCTCTTTATGCCATTTGTATGTAGTGGTATGTTTCTGAGTATCAACTGAATTACCATAAAACAATTAAAAATATATTAAACTAAACAGTTGAATCTCTCTGAGGAACATTAATTTTGTGACAGTCAAAAAACACTACTATCATTTTGATGATGAAATCATGTGATCAAGCATAGTGGAAAGTACAACAGTCAACATTGTGTGGCGATGGGTGTTTCTGGGGTATTCCAAAAATGTTATACGTGCAGAATTTATGTGTGCACAGTTTACACTTACGCTGGCATGTTTCTTAACACCAAGATAATAGGTACACCTACACTTCAACATAATTAAGTCTTGATAATTGAGGTTTAACAAGATCATTATACACACGGAGAAGCAAAATGATTACCTGCAGAATCCTTGTTACCCATTTCTTTCTCAGAAGCATATTGGAAAAGGGGATGTTGGTGAAAAACTAGTGTTTCTGAAAAACAAATAAAGATTTTTATTTCATGCAATGTGAAATACAATTATTGTATGCATGGGTATATTTCTATTGCAGTGAGCTAAAACAAAGTCATCTGTCGCTTGAATCATTTTTTCACAATATCCAGCTTGGATGTTGTATGAGTTACAACATTTACAAGAGTTTGACACAACCCTGTTGACTCTAGTTGTTTGGAGGACAATGGTTACTTTTTGTATAGTTTTCAGTAACAATACAGTCACTGAACCTGTGCATGTTCATTCATTAATTTGTCAGTTATTTACAATATTCTACTATTTACAGAAATAATACTATGCTGGTTTATCTGTGTGTGAGGGTGAGGGGGTGGGGCTATGTGTGTGTTGGGGGTAGGGGGTTTACAAAAGTAAATATAATGCAGTAAATACACCTGAAAAACAAGAAACATTCAGTTACTAGGATGACCCGTCATTGATGATTGAAAGTTGATCCTCAAGTTTTTCACTTCATACAGATGTTGAATACTCATTAAAATTATCATATTTAATTAAATTGAAAAAAATAAAAGCATGCTGTAAAATTGAAATGACTACATCTTGTTGTTTTCTTATATTGTTATCAAACAATCAGAGGTACCAAAATGTATTATATTTCAACTAGAAGAAGTAAATGAATTGGATATTTAACAATTGAAAAGATAGTGATATATCTATTTTTTTTCAATGGCAGATTATAAAAATACCCCGATTTTCCATCAGGACAATACACTAACAGCTGTCAGTTTAGCTGTTTAGCACATGGGCGGGGTCACTATTTGTTACGGATTCTACCTGTCAGCACTTACTTCCAATATAAAATTCAATCTTTTACAAGTTGGAAAGATCGCTTTCACATTCACTGTTCATTTTCTTTAGTATTGTGCGTGCTTTTAGAGAACACAGTCATGAATTATCTACAAAACCACAAAAACTTTGCAAGTTGTAACAACAGGATAAACATACGCGGCTGCTAAAATTAAAAACAACTTGGTAATTATAATATTTCCGGAAAAAAGAAATTTAGATGCATCAAAAAAAACCTATAGGCCTATATTATGCTGTTCATTTTAAAAAGTTGATTGGTAAATTAATTGGCCCTAGTCCCATCCAAACAGAAAATATGACGAAATTCAAAGTTCTTCACGCCATACTCCAAGGTAAGTGTCATGAGAGACAGAAATAACGTTACCAAATAAAAAAGAGTACAAGAAATATATTAAATACATTATTATAAGTGAAGTGAAATATGAAAGCCCAGCAGACCACAGACTGGGAAAAAAAAATTTTTTTTTTTTTAATAAAAA